AGGAGTTGCAGAACCAGGAGCCCTATCCACTGAACCACAGCAGCTCCCACCTTTTATCTGAACCAAGAACCTGGTGGGATGTCCTCTCTCCTCAGTGGTTGAGGGTGAAACTCTCTCTCCTTTGGAAATTAAAACTAGTCTGACATTGTTCTGTTGCAGGAAAAGAACCCAATTCCTCAGAAGAAAGAGAACTTAGCCACAATCTATTGCTCTGTACAGAAACCTCAAAAGGTGAGAACAATTTTCTGTCTTCCAAAGCCCATAAAGCCAGTGGTGGTAGCATATGCCTATAAGCAACTCAGGAGACTGAGGAAGGTGGATTGTAAATTCAAAGCCAGCCTCAGCAACTTAGTGAGACCATGACTCAAAATAAAAATAAAAAGGGCCGGGGATGTGGCTGAACCGTGAAGTGTCCTGAGTTCAATCCCAATCCTCAGTACAAAAAAAGAAAGAAAGAAACTATTTCTCAGACCTTTTGAACTAAAATTTGTAGATTTCCATGACTGAGGAGCTTAGATTCTACCCAATTAGATATCACTCTGATATACTCCAGGGGCAACAAAGGTGCTTAAACAAATAGTTCTGATTTGCATCTATGTGAATAAAGGTTGGACATTTCCAATCAATTTAATAATATCTTGATATGTTGATTATTCTTCACCTTGACCAGAATGAGAAACTATAAACACAAACACTGTTCTATATATGTGTCTGCACACATGTAAATGTAAATACTATCCTATATGATGTGATTTTATTATATATATATATATCTGCCTAATCCTAATCCAGCAAAACAGTGACTTTCCATAACAATTAGAAATTAGCCAACAATTTTATGTCAACAATATGTACTACAAACTACAACACATAGGTTTTATTAGAGTGTTAAAAATATCCCTCAAGGTAGAATTTACCTTTAAATAATAATGATGATAATTACTTTTATATTAATCTGTACAGTTTACAAAACATGAACAAACACCGTCACCTCTGATCTTTGTAACACCTCTAGAAATATGTTGTCATCCACATTTGAGAGCTAAAGGAACTGAGATTCAGAGAAGCTCATTTGGCCTACAGTCACACAGATAGTCGTTGGAAGTTCCAGTACTGAGAACCACAAGGAGTTTAAAGAAAATCTTGAATAATCCTTAACAGTTAACTTTGATCCATATCTGGCTAGCCACTCCATTTTCACCTTCCTGATAACATGGAGTCCATTCATGCTTTTGCTTCCAAATTTCCCCCACCTCCAAATTCCCTCCTTGTAACACATTCAAAAAAAGAGTTTTAAAAACAAAATTCTAAAAGTTTTTTTTTAATTTGCTACTTATCTGAAATTGATGAATCAATCAGTAGGTATTTATTGAGTCTCTTTGTCTGCCCAAAACTGGCCAACTGCTATGGGTACTCAGACATGTTTAAAGCACCATCCTTGGCCTTGACAGGACTGTAGCTCAGTGGCAGAGCGCTTGCCTGGCACATGTGAGAAACTGGATTGGATCCTTAGCAGCACCACATAAAAATAAATAAATAAAATAAAGGTATTGTATCCATCTACAACTAAAAATATGTGGAGGAAAGGGCACACTCTTACATTACTGGTGGGACTGCAAATTGGTACAACCAATCTGGAAAGCAGTATGGAAATTCCTTGGAAAACTGGGAATGGAACTACCGTATGACCCAGCTATTTCACTCCTCAGTTTATACCCAAAGGACTTAAAAAATACCATACTACAGGGACACAGCCACATCAATGTTTATAGCAGCACAATTTACAATAGCTAAATTATGGATCCAACCTAAAGAAAATGTGGTATATATACACAATGGAATATTACTCAACATTAAAAGAGAATAAAATCATGGCATTTGCAGGCAAATGGATGGAATTGGAGAATATAATGCTAAGTAAGCCAATCCCAAAAAACCAAATGCTGAATGTCTTCTCTGATATAAGGGTGCTCATTCACAATGGAGATGGGGGGAAGCATGGAGGAATAGACAAACTTTAGATAGGGCAAAGGGAAGGAAGGGGAGGGGGGGTTATGAGGGAAGGAAAGATAGTAGAATGAGACAGACATCATTATCCCCAAGTACATGTATGAAAACATACAAGAAAAAGAAGACAGGTAGAGTTGATTCCATCAGCTGAAAAGGGAAAAGTGTGGAATTCCAAATAGAAGTGGGGGAAGTAATGGATATTACTGCAGAAAGTTTTCATGAAAAAGAAATTTAAACCAGACTTTTAAAGATGGATCCAATGTGCTCAGTAAACACTTGCTCAAATGTACATTTCAGTTCACCCATCACCTGCCTCATCCTGACTTCCAAGATTGGGATGGAATGCTTAGCCAGCAAAGGACTTCACCTTATCTGTTCTATTCTCTGCATTCCCAGAGCTGCTTTCCACTCTGGTCTGGTACTTTGTGTTTAGGTCAAAACGGGTTAAACTTAAGGTCATAGACTTTAAGGTCATTAGTTCCTGCTGAGTTTCCCAATGACCATGAGTTGCCACACTTGGTCATTCCTCTATGGCACTCACACCATTCCAGAGACTTGGATCCCCTAAACCCACTGTCACTTGCAGTGTAAGAGGAAATCAATGTATTTTCTCAGCCAAGATTTTGAAAGAATTTAACCCTGTCTTTCCGAATTTTCAGGACCAGGAATTCTAGTTCTGGGTCTTCTAAGGCCACTATTGCCTACTTGATCAAGAAAATTCTTAAACCTGCTTTAGTTTTCTGACACATTCTTCTGCACAATATCTCAAGGAAGGTCTATGCTATTCCCAAGCTGCTGCTTGTACCTAACTTCCCCCTCCTCAGATTTCGTCTGTTCTTCAGAGCCTTCCCTGGGCTCTCTCAGACAAGGGATTCAGAACCCTTGGAACCTGGAGATCGAATGACCTTGACCATTACTTTGGAACTTAGCCTCTACTATCTGAATTATCTCCATATAAATGTTTCCCTTGTTTCTCCAGCTAGTGCATAGATTGAGATCACTCAACAGTAGCTTCTTGAAGGCAAGGCATTTTATTGTCATTTTTTTAATCCCCTGTATTTTCTCTACTAAAATGTCTAGTATTGCCCTTGTAGAGAGTCCAGCCCACAGCATTTACCATTAAAGGAATCTCCACAAGTGCTTGCTTGATGGCTCAATACCTAGGCCATTCCACATGACCCTACTCCTACAGCATAGACTAACCATAGTCTGGCCTTGCCTTCCTCTGTCTCATCAGCACAGGGCCAAGAGAACCAAAATCTTGAAAGGATTTATTAATCAAATTCTTTGTGTTCTTTTGGCTCCCAGGTGGTGCCACCTCCACAACAGGATGGTCTTGAGTCTCCTGAAATCCCTACCTATGAAAATTTAACCTGAAAAGTAAAACAATTGCCACCTCTTTCCTGGGTCCCCGTCATTTTGGAAAAGCAGCTGGACCTCATAAAAGTGGAATATTCCTGCAGATAGAAGCACATCAGACTTTCTGCAGTGACTCAGACATGCTCGGTTTGACCCCTCCCCCCTACTTCTCACCCCTGTGGCCTCCTAAACCCATTACTATTTCAGACACAGGCTCCTTCTTGGATCTACATAAAATGATGCTCGCATAGTATTTAAAATAAAGAGTGCAAAATAACTAAATGTCCATTTTGTGAGAGTCTTGTTAAATATATGATAATATACCAAGCAGGAATAAACCCTACCACTTGGAAAGAAAGCAAAGATTAACAAACTAGTATGGAATGAGCTCTAAAATACACTGTAGACTGCAAAGAACAAAGTCCAGGACAGTGCATACTGTATAGTACTAGTTGGATTAGAAAACATGTCTATATGTTCAGGTAGACATAAAGAAGTTCTGGAAGAAAAGGAAAAAAAAATCTTACCTCCTAGGGAGGAACTAGAAATCCCAATTTTTTTCTGCATACTTTTTTTTTGCATTGCTGGATTTTTTATAACCCTATGTGTATTATTCTATTGATAGTTCTCAAACAATGTTTATATGGCTCTTTCACGTAAGATACCCATATTTATTCAAAGAGCTTCCCTCCTTATTGTCAATCTGGATATAGAACAGCCACCGTATCTCTCCTCTTCCCAAATTATGACTGCAATCCTCTCCCCCTGCCTGTAAGATGCACTATATTGACATGTTCGTGATTCTATAGTGTACATTTGTGATTATATGCACTTTGCAGCCCACTTATGTCCTTTAATGTTGTGTTTCTGCTGCCATACCCTTCTGGCCATGGGCCTTGGAGTCGGTATGGCTTCTAGGACCTGCGATGGATCCTCCCAGGGGTTCAGAAGGTGCTTCATATTCAGCAGGAATTTAATAATTGCTTATTCATGGGCTCATTGCATGGATAATTATAAGGTGTTATCATGGAAGTTCAACAGTCTGGCACACAATACGATGCTATACATATCACACTCCAGAATATAGCATACCAAAAGTCCAGGGCCCATAGGGTTTCTTCTGCTCCTTAAAAACATTTGACCAGTTCAAGATCTACACAGTTCAAGCCACTTGAAAAGCCAGCAGCAGTCAACGATCAGTGTCTCTGGTGTTCATCTGGACTGTTCTTATCCCATCATTTCTTGCTGTCTCTTTACCCAACTCCTAGATTCTACAACTCAGCTACCAATACCTAACTCAGGACCCCAGACTCCTTTTGAATATATTTCTCTGGCTTTTAACCCTTGACACTTAATTCAATATGTGGTCTATCCAGACTTCCCTCTAGGAAGGAGCCAGGCTAGCCACAGCCCCCAGGAAGAGAGATCAGGCTCACTTGAGCAAGTGCATGTTTTAGCTATCCTTTGTGATACTGAATGGTCCCAGGCACCTGGTTCTCTGCTGTCCCAGTCACTGACAGCTCACCAGAAAGTCAGATCCCTCTCTTGCCTATGACCTATGCAGACAAGAGGAATTGGGTTTGGCTGCAACATAAGCTAAGAAAGCGGCAAAAAATCACACAACACAGAGATAAGTTTTTCAAATGGAGGGCGGGACGGCTCTGTGACCTTAAGGGTCAGCTTCCATGCTGGAAAGAAAGCACTGGAAAGAGAGCATGAGCCCATGTTTCCTTTATTTTATAGCGGGGACATCAGAGGCAGGGATAAGACTTCAAGGGTGGAGTCTTGCTTCGTGAGGTCTCGTGGTCAGCAGATTGATTGACATCTTGGCAAGTCCCACCCATCTCAGGTGCTGTGTGGGATCTTAGGCAGAGCTAGAGGGGCAGGCACACCTGCATCATGCAATCACTCCCTGATCGCATGGAGCCCGCAATGCCAGGCCTATCCCCTCATTTGGCTACAATGCACAATAGCTCACACACACAGCCCATGGATGGCTTGTGACAGCCTTCTCCAACAGAATTAAACAGACATGTGTTTGTAGATGGCCCATAAGTCCCCTTTGACTGCTTTAGAGTGTAGAAATGCAGAGTGTAGAGAAGATACATAGATTTAACCCAGGCAAAGGATTTAGGCTGCCTGTGTGTAACACCAAATTTTTATATTAAACACATATTTTAAATGAAGGATAGGACACTGAAGAGCCAGGCTATGAGCAGTTATCACCTGCTGTCGTCTCTGAGTCCCCTCTCCTGGGCTCATCCAGAGTCCCAGCCTCGTTGAGGGCTGGCCTAAAGACTCGGGGCACCCAGCACAGATCTGGTTCCCAGCCGCCTCATCTTTTAGCACCCAAGTACCCAAGCCCTCCCTCCAAGGTATACAGTGGGAAGGCAACACTAATCAGGACTCAGAACTTAAATAGAATGGGTTTTCCAAGGAGAGAAGGCAGACCTCTACCACAAAGGAGCCAAAATAGATTTCTAATAATATGTCTTTGTAAATCAAACATTACACTTTGGACAAAACTGGTCTAACTGCCCAGTTCTCAAGAAAGGCTTTGGGTGGTTTTTCTTTCCAATGAAGAGTTTGCTTCTCATCACCCTCTGTTCTTGTGTCTGCCCACTTCCTTTGTGACCAACCGGCCACTGTAAATGTGTTGAGGTGTAGGGGAAAATTTTTTCCCCTGCATTCAAGTTGCAGCCTAGGTGCTGGTCCACCTGTGAGAACCTGCTTGCCAGCAAACAGAAAGTACAGCTTCAGAGGAGCCTGCTTCCTCTTCCCCTGAGTCACTGTCACCTGTTTTTGCTTGGTAGGTAGGCCTGGGTGAGGTGAGGGTCTAGAAATGCTGTCTAGACCAGCATCCCAGATCAGAGAGGATGAGAGACAAGTAACAGGTTAGAAAACCAGGACAAGGGAATCTCAAGCCTCCATTTACATAACTTTATAGATTACAAGTACTCAGAATGTGGTCAACCCAACCTCTCCACCCATTCTTGTCTAGTATCTAAGTTGGGAGATATTATTTCACAACCTTGCTTGTATCATGGCTGTTAGAAATCATTTTCAAAACAAAATAAAGACCACGAATAGACTTTCATATCCTCTCCCGACTAGGAACTCTTCCAAAAAAAAAAAAAAAAAAAAACTCCTGTGGCAACATCTATTCCGCTGATTCCCAGCACCAAAGCGGATATGGAAGAAAGGCCAAAAGAGCTACAGCATTTAGGAATAAATATCAAAGTTGTCCAGCTCTTTGCGGCTCAGTCGGGCAGGGTTACGGGCTCTGGACTCTGTTGCTCCAACCTGCAGACGAAAAAGGGAAATTTCAGACCCTCCCAACAGAAGATCCTTATAATAATTCTATGGTGTATGAATTGTTATCACTGTTTTATAGATTATGAAAATGAAATTCAGAGTGGTAAAATAAATTACGCAGGGTCAATGACTAGCATGAAGTAAAGAGGGGACCTGAATCCAGTTTTTCTTCCTTCAATTCCAGGGATCTTTTAACTACACTGTGATTCTTTGTAACCCCCCACATTACTTTGGGCCCACACAGTATCCTCTATACCCCTGGACTGTCTGTCCAGTTGGCTTTAATATAAAACTATAGCTGAAGGGCCAGGAATCTCAGAAAGTACCCACCTGCCATCTCCAATGCAATCAAAGACAACATGTCATGGATGGAGGCTTGGGTGTGGTATGATGCTAACAGGAAGAGGTGACATCCATGCCTGAATTTCTTTGGGTATAAATGTGAAGGTAAGGGCTCGGGACATAGCTCCATGGTAGAGCACTTGCCTAGTATATGCAACCAACCACTAATACTACCAAAAAATATATCTAACTTATAGCATTCTGTGAGCATTAAATCAGATAGTTCATGTGAAGACAATGGAACATTGTCTTATGTATAATAATCCCCCAAGAACTGTCGAGTTCCTCCTCTCTCCTCCCTAAATGGCCTGATGGGAATCAGTTAGCTACCAGGCTCAGTGGTCACCTTCAAACAGTGTCTACCTTAGCAGAAGCTGAAGATCATCCACATCCATAATGGTTCCCAATGCCATGCTAATTTAGAAAATCACTTAGAATTCCTTATTTTCCCCTCTCTGGATTTTTCCCACCCCACCCTCACATGCAGCCTTTAAATGGAGATGTCTAATTTGTACTCAATAGCCTGGGAACTAGATTGGGGACAGTCCTAATTTAGAACACAAGCTGAAAGTCAGATCTGAACACCTGATGTCACATTGGGGGAGACCCTCACTCTCTTTGGACCTTCATGTCTTTATCTCTAAAATGAAGATTTGGATTTAAAAATCCCTACAATCAGTGCTGGGGATGTGGCTCAAGCGGTAGCGCACTCGCCTGGCGTGCGTGCAGCCCGGGTTCGATCCTCAGCACCACATACAAACAAAGATGTTGTGTCCGCCAAGAACTAAAAAATAAATATTTTTTTAAAAAAATCCCTACAATCCTACAATTATGAGACTGTATGGATGACCTTTTCATAAGTACACCCTTCATGACTTGTCTTAAGGACTGTGGTATAGACACTAAACCCACTCAGAAGAGTTCCAGAATCTTACCTCTTCATAGATGGAGCTATTGATGGAAGGGTCATGGTTCCTCTCCTTGCATCTGGACTAGAAATTCAGAGAGCAAAGAATTACACATTCGACATAAGAGATGTCCTATTCCTGACTAACACAACAAATTCCAAAAGAGACTCAAACCCAAGAAGTCTCCTAAGCTTTCCTCAACAAGAAAGTGAAAAGAATCTACCTCAAGAATAAACAGTGGTATTAATGGTCTCCCAGAAAGCACAGTACATACTGGCTTATGATATGACATTTCTGAACCAAAGCCAGGGTTTAGTATCCCATACCCAAATACCCCTAAGTCTCACACACAAACACACATTCCCAGGGCACATGCACACACATGCACACATACACACATACACACACACACACACATACACACATATCCCTCAGACAGTCCTAATGCAATTATCATCCCAAACCATGTATCTCTTCAACACACTTTCCCATAATGTAAACAAAAACGTTTTCAAAATATAATACTAAAGCATGTAAACAGAGTACCTATGAGCATCTGGATGTCCTTGGTTGTAGCATATAATTAAAAATCTCTCATGGTGAGTCCAAGTTGATGAATGACTTATTGAAAAGAGGTTGAATAAGAAGTCTGAATATCCATTCTAAATCCCTTCAAATACATAGTCCCTAACCTATATGGACTCCCACAGTTCTGTGGATTTCCATTTTCCTATTGTACCATGGAGCAGTTCATGGTTTCATACTGCAGTTCAAGCCATGGAAACACTACTCTTCCCATCCTCTCCCATACCAAGTAAAAAGGATGAGCAGAGCATCAGGAAACTCAGATCCAAGGTACTGGGTACACACAAGAGCTATGAGCTCAGCTTGGAGCAGGATGTGAGTGGAACATGACTGCTGCGGTCCAGGGTCTTCCACCAGCAGGTGACTGGCCAGAAAGTTAGCATTGTTTCCCCCTAACCCAGCCCTCCAGCTGCAGGCCCTAAGTCCTTCCTTCGCAAACCTCTCCAATATCTTTCACCACAGCCTCAGCTGGTCTACTAAGGACCCTGTGGTCCTTCTGCACAAAGCACCTCCTTCCTGTCTTTGTCCCTCGCATCCCACAAAAGCCCTAAAAAATCCTATAATCCACTATTCTCTGAGTCCAGAGATGTCCTTATCCTCAAGGCAGAACCCTAAAGGCATTTTTCCTCATTGACCCATTAACATTGAAACACAGTCATTGAATGGAAGCTACCCAGATACACACCGTGGAGGACCACTCACTGTAGCATGCACACACACTCTTGCAAACACATGCCTGTGTATGCACATGCAAAATACACATCTGCATCAATCACACCACACGGGGGAAGAGACTTACCTTCCTGGAAGGCTGTATAACTGAATACAACGTATTTGTAGCTTCTTTTGATGTGGAAGAAGAAGGCTAATGAGAAAAGAAATAAGAGCATTTCAGAAGCATAGATCCAATACAACCCTAGAGGGATCATTGCTTCCATCACTCTGCCTATACCCTGCCTAGACAGAAGCTTTAAGTGTTAGTAAAAAGAACCCTGAATTATCCAGGAGGCCATGAGTCAACGCGAATGCTAGTCCCACTCTGTTACTAAGGGTAACTACGATTTGTTGAGCAGTTATTTTATACATGCATTCTCCCCTAATTCCTATACCACTCTTATAACTTAGGAACAATCATAAATTTTCCCCTGCCACAGGTGAGGCTACAAAAGGGTGAAAAGTCCAAATCAGACAGAGTATAAACAATGGGTTCAGTATTCAAATCCAAGACCCCCCAGGGCTTTTTTCTCAAGGAGTCAACACCTCCTGTTGGCAATATATCTTCTTTCTCTGGACCTGAAACTAGAGTCCTCCAGGACAGGTAACTATCCTCCTTTTAAGGTACTCCAGAGGAGCGATCTCATCCTCACCCAACACCCTAAGCTGAGAGGAGCTCTTCCTTGAATTTTATCCAATCCCTCTCCTTGAATTTCAATGTGAATAAAGCCAGAAAACTGCAGATATCAATCATTCTTGCAATGGATTTTCTGTGCCCCACAGCTCAGCCACCAAGCCTAAGATATGGTTGCACCTAGGCTTGTATAATTTTATCAAAATGGATTTTACTGTCATGTATAACTAATAAGAACCTATAAAATAAAATTTAAAAAGTAAAAATACTTTTTTAAGAAAAGAGTCATTTTATCAGAAACTTTTCATCATTGGCCACAAGGAAGCAGCATTTTCCTTGGGAGATCTCTCCCAGCCTGGGTTATCAATAATTTGCTGATCAATATTGGATGTGTCTCCTGTCCATGAGTAAATTTCTATAACCCCAGGCTATTAAAGGTGAGGTAGAAGGAGATGGAATGGAGATTCAAAAACCCATTTGGTTTGGTTCTGCCGCTACCGAGCTATGTGGCCTTGAGCATATTATCCTGTTTGCTTATCTGTGATGCGGGGTTCAGACTATATCTAAAGCATTAAGACTATTTCATGAGGCTGTTGTGGGAGATTTATTAAGAAAATGGATGTACTGTTAAGTCTAAATAAGACTAAAGAGACCAAAACAGATCTAGTATTTCCTGAAAACAGGTATTAGGGGTAATGAGGATAAATTGTATGAGAGCCCCAATGATTGGTGCTGAGAGCCATAGCCAAGTAGGAATGACGCATGGCATTTTGGGTTGAAAGGTGACCCTGCTCAGGGATTAGGGTGGCTCCAGGTTTAGGGTGGATCCTGCTGGGAATAGGGCGGCTCCAGGATTAGGGCGTATCCTGCTGCCTCAGGTGCCTGCTCCTTTGGAGTTCCCGTGGAGTTCTCGCGGGGTTCTGAGAGTATTGGTACGCAGAGCCTGGAGGAGGGAGTGTATGTTTTCCCAGAACGTGCGTGTAGAGTGCCGGTGAGAGTTCGGGAATAAAGAGTTGCTGTTTGAATCTACAAGGCTTTTGTGGTGGCTTGGTTATTTTGTGCCCAGCCAGACTGCGGCATTTGGCGGCCCATACGGGGAACGCCTGAAGCTTGGAGGTAAGTGAAATTGCTCGCCCCTGAGGAAGAGTGAAAGAATGGGTGACCATTTCAAAAAACAATATGTTCTTGTTTTGATTTATTTTGTTTTTATTTCAAGTTGCCTGTCCCTAGAACTTTCTCAGGCAAACTGGGGAAAATGGTTGACTCAAAGTTTAAAGTTGTTCGCCCCTAAGGAACAGAAATTGTTAGAGGAAGGAGGCACCCCAGTAAGACCAAGAACAATTAGGGCATATGTTGATACAATACAAAAATGTAGCCCATGGCTTTTTAAAGAGAAGTTGTTGAATATATCACAATGGGACCATCATGGTATCCTGTAGAATAATTTTTCTTCAACAAGAAAGAGATGGCTAGTTCTGTTTACTACACTTGTCTAAGATCTTGGTTTTTATAGACATCTGATTAATTTACAAAGATAAAGTGTTGAAACATCAACCACTAATATAAAATGAAGTACTCTTTACTTATTAAGTTCCATAAGGTAATATATTTAAACATTATGTGTGTTTTCATAAATTGGTGAATGGAAAAATGTTTAATATTGCTTTGTGTCTGTGTCTTTGCTGAAACAAGGTTACTAAGAGTTCAGATTCTATCAGGTGTAATTTATATACAAAGAGTATAAGAAGTTTCAGTAAAAGCTATTCAAGATGTGGAAATATATTTTAATATGGAAGATTAAATAAAGAAATGTTTCTAGATGAGATAATCTTTGTGTGGTAAAGTAAAAAGTTGTAAAATGTCTAAGTAAGTTGCAAAAGGCTTTAAAAGGTTAAATTGAAGGTGGTTAAGATGCCTTCATGACGGAGGAAAGATTGCGTCATTCGAAGCCTAGTTAATCTTAAAAGCATTACTTAAAAAAAAACCATGAAAATGGAAAGATAATAGGATAAAAGCAATTTGGATAAAGAAGATTAAAATTTTAAAGTGGAAAACTTTAAAGATAAAAGTACAGAAAGGTTAAAAAAAGATAGAGAAGATGTAGGAAGATAAAAAAGATGTAGGAAGACAAGAATTTTAAACCCACAAAATAGGAAGAAAAAAAAACTAGGAGGAAAAAAAGCAACTAAGGGTAAATATACAAACCTTAGAAGAAAACTAGAAGATAGAAACAAGAGGATTTTTCTTCAACAAGAAAGAGATGGCTGGTTCTGTTTACTACACTTGTCTAAGATCTTGGTTTTTACAGACATCTGATTAATTTACAAAGCTAAAGTGCTGAAACATCAATCACTAAATATAAAATCAAGTACTCTTTACTTATTAAGTTCCATAAGGTAGTATATTTAAACTTTATGTGTGTTTTCATAAATTGGTGAATGGAAAAATGTTTAAAATCAGTTAATGTTTTACTTAACAGGAATCCCATACAATCCACAGGGATAAGGCATAGTTAAAAGAGCTCATCAAACTATTAAAATGTACTTATTAAAACAAAAAGAAGGAATTGGGAAAGGGTATATATCCCCCAAAGATAAACTTAAAATAACCCTTTTTACTCTAAACTTTTTAAATTTGGATTCATCAGGACTTAGTGCTGCGGAAAGGCATATGTATCCAAAAAAATGTACATAAGCCTAAGGTACTTTGGAAGGATATTCTAACAGGACAATGGAAAGGTCCTGACCCAGTGATTGTCTGGAGTCGGGGTTCTGTTTGTGTGTGTCCACAGGGAGAACAGCAGCCGATTTGGATTCCAGAGAGATTAATTAAAGCAATTTCTACAGACCAAAAAGAAGATGATTTGACTCAAATCCATAACAGCTGATATCCAGAGCTCCAGCTTGGCTATTCTTACATCTGCGACAGTGATTAACCAGGATGCTTTTTTCAATATCTATTTTATTATTGCCTTTTCCCACATCATAAAGTTTTATTTTATTTTTTGAGCTCATACAGACCTAGGTTAATGTTCTTCTGATCAGTTTTATTTCTTGACTGTGGAGTTTTTAAACATTGCAATGGAGATTTCACCTGTGTAAAGCTACAAGGCCTTTACAAGGCCTTTACTATTGTCTTATGTGTTGTACGTTTGTGTGCACACTTGTGTTTTACTATTGTCTTATGTGTTGTACATTTGTGTGCACACTTGTGTTTTGTGTTGTATGTCTGTGTGTGCGTATGTCCATATATCATGTATGAGGAGCGCTCATGAAAAAATGGATCCGAATTTTTTTTTTATTCACGTGATTTTAATGGTTTAATTTAAATTGGGTAAACAGCTGTTGAGGATTGTTTTAATATGTATACAAATAAGGAGGTTAACAGATCTGTTTGTTTACTTTCACCTTTCCTTTTCATTATATTTAATAATTCTGTTCAGGATAATGTAAATTGTTCAGAAAATTGTTTTCTTAGTACCTGTTGGAATGTTACATAATTTCTTTTTAGCATCATTGCCAGAATTCCTATCTTCATCCCAGTGCCAGTGAAGACAAAGATAAAACCAAACTACAGCTTCTATGATAGCTATTACAATAAACTGTATAAACTGATGTATCAATGAATAATAACTCAACAAGTAATGCTCAATCAAGGAGTTGATTTACTTTGGGAGGAAATGGACATACTTATAGATTCCTCTGCTTTGAATTGCTTGCAGAACGTGCCTGGACTATGTATCACTTGTATGCATTGTGAACTATCTATCTGTTGGTGCAGCGAATTGTGGTAGTGCTGGCGTATCTTTGCTGATGCTGTCATCGGTGATACAATTTTTCCAAAGGAGCCGTCAATTGGCTTGGTGTCGTGGCATTTCTGTATCCTCCTCCCTTCTGCTAGTGATGGTCTAAAATTTGGGGGCCAACAGAGGTGAGGCAAAGAACCTCACCCCCCCCCACTGTCATCAAGGCCAAATTTAGGGGCCAACAGAGGTGTGGCAAAGAACCTCATCCCCCCCCACACTGGTGCATAGGCCTATCCACAAGTATGGCTATGTGCTGGACCAGTAGTCAGTGATGGGTATGATCCAATTGCAGTGGTACCAACCTAAGACAGGAGGCTGACGCCTAGAGGTCAGCTCATCCAATGACAGGTAAGGACCATACGTTGAATTGGACCACCTAACAGGCACGGTCCCTAAGCCACATTGCTTGTTGTTTAATTAAACAGAAGGGGGGGGGATGCTGAGAGCCATAGCCAAGTAGGAATGATGCATGGCATTTTGGGTTGAAAGGTGACCCTGCTCAGGGACTAGGGTGGCTCCAGGTTTAGGGTGGATCCTGCTGGGAATAGGGCGGCTCCAGGTTTAGGGCATATCCTGCTGCCTCAGGCGCCCGCTCCTTTGGAGTTCCTGTGGAGTTCTCCCAGGGTTCTGAGAGTATTGGTACGCAGAGCCTGGTGAAGGGAGTGTATTTTCCCAGAACGTGCGTGTAGAGTGCCGGTGAGAGTTCAGAAATAAAGAGTTGCTGTTTGAATCTACAAGGCTTTTGTGGTGGCTCAGTTATTTTGTGCCCAGCCAGACTGCGGCAGATTGGAGTCAATAGAAAGAGGGAAAAATTGAGTTCCCTAACAAGGTTCCTTCTCCTACAGACAATCTGGGCTAGACCTTCTGCCAAGTGTGGGAAAAGGGAGAATGTCTGCATTGGGCTTTCCAGCTCTGTTAAGATACTCCAGAGGTTCCTCAAAAGATTAGGAATGAAAACACCATATGATCCAGCTATATCACTCCTCGGTATTTATCCTAAAGAAAATATTAAAGTCAGTATACTATAGCAATAATGCAAACTCATGTTTATAGGAGCACAATCCACAATACCAAATACCCTAAACTAGGAATTTAGGTGAATTAGACCGAGAGCCTTCAAAGACCTAAGTAAGTGTCAACAGTTAATTCCTGCACTAAGGGCTGCAAGACTCTATCTTACATCAACTGAATGCAATGGAACCAACCTTGGTGTCCGTCAATGTATGAATGGATAAAGAAAATGTGACATGTACACACAATGGAGTTTTAATCAGAGAAGAATGAAATTATGTCATTTGCAGGAAAATGGATGGAACTTGAGAGCATTATGTTAAGCAAAATAAGCCAGACTCAGAAAATTAAGGGTTGTATTTTTCTCAAACATATGGAAGTTTGAGAGGAAAAGAAAGATGTGGCATAGGTGGAAGTCTTATGAAAAGAGATGGGAGATCAATAGAGAAGAAGAAGGGACCAGGGAGAAAGGAGGAGAGGAAAGGGGGAAATAATGGGGAAAGTACTGGCCAGATTTTATTGTTATATCATGTGCATATACAAATATATCAACAGATTCCACTATTGTGAATAATTATCATGGACTCATAAAAATATGGAAAATGACACCAGAATATACTGATCTTTTCAACTTGTCAATGCACCTTAAGCCAAGCTAGGCTCTGGACCCCAGGAACACCCAGATCCTGCCATTGAGGGGTGTAAATTGGGGACGGGGCATTAGGGAGCCGCATAGATGGGAATGAAAAGTATTAGAGAAACCAGAGTGGTACCTGGGACTGGATCACAGAGTAAATGGTGATTCCTTCTTCAAGGACTTCCTGCTGCTGTAGAAGAAACAATAAAGGAACATGAGGTGACATGGGTAGACAGCGGGGTCTGTCCAGGTTTCGATTAAACAGGGAAAGATAGAAAAAAGAAGCCTGGGAAGAAGGTAGCAGGACTGGGAAAAGCCTCATCATTGAACACCCCAGGAGGGGGAGAGGCAGGAGGAGTTACAGGAGGTCACAATGGAGCAATTAGTGTCAAGAGCAACTAATGGCTCTTGACACTAATTGTGTGACTGGATTCAAGCAATCCTGTCCATTGGGCACCCCTGTCCCTTCCTTTGCTTTGATAACTTAGAAACCCCTCCTTGCCTTGGCTGACTTGAGGACTAAATTTTCCACATAACCACTGATAATGGGCAGAACTCCAGGCAGAGCTACGATCCCAGCCGTACCTCAGGGCACTGAAATTCAGAAGGTTTAAGCATTTTAAAGACTCAGCATTTTAAGCCCCCCCCCACCCCCCAATCTATGTTTCATAACCAGCTTTCCCTTGGCCTCAAGCCAGTCCTCTTGGCAGCTGTGATGCTGGGTGGAGCCCTAGACCCAAGGCTAAAGGCAGGGGGAACACAGCCCTTCCGGTTTCCCTCCCTCAGGCCTGTCCCACAACAGATTAGGAGTGGAGATATTTCACGCTGCACATCCCTGAGCACATATTTCCAGATGGAGCTCTGCTGGGGAGCCAAAGAAGGTCAGCAGCGTTCATCAGACAAGATGGAAGCTGAACTCCCCAGAAACAAAAAGCTAAGAGGAAGAGAAATGTCAAGCCATCTTTGGAGGCCAGAGAGTCATGGGCAGGTGTCAAGAAACAGGAGTTGTTTGTTTTTTTTTCTCTCCTGTGGATGGTCTCCAAAGTGAGACCACATGAAACTTGGGATTTAGGCCTTCAAGCTGGGGTCTGGAGACAGGAATAGACCCCACAGAAGGCTGAGGCTGGGCAGAGAGGAACCTGAGTCAAAAGCAGTGTAACAAGCCTGAGTCTCCAACAGATTTCTTTTACTCTAAATGGTTATTTCCTCCTGTTTTTCTTATTTCTCTAAAGTCATCTTCATTTGGGGAGAGCAGGGAGGTAGGAGATAAATGGCTAAAGCTAGATGCATGTGCCCTTAGGAATTCGTACCTAAATCTGGAAGTAGTCAAACTATCTCCTCTTTAATTTTCACACCCCAATATTCCATTTTGAGGGCAAAGAAACAGGCGAGGGGAGCTGCCCTCATTCCCACTGAGGAAATAGACCTGAGGGAGGCTGCCTCACGAGGCCTCGTCTGTGTGGAGAGTGGAGGGATTCCTCATTGTTGCCTCCTCTAGCCAAGCACCAAAATTGGCAGTGGGAAATGGGGCCTTCCTCCCCACTCCCACCTGCTACCCACCAGTTCAGCAGGCACTGCCTGATCCATCAGAGCCTTTCCCCGGGCTTGTCACCACATCCTGCCTGTGGTACTGGGGGCATCTTCAACCCCCCTGCAGCTTCCTCTTTTACATCCCTGGATGACAGGAAGAGGTGGCCACCGCCCTGCTGAGAGCTGGTGAGAGAGGTTCCTGGGGGAGACACCCAGGGCTCATCAGTTTAAAATCAAGCTGATGACTCTCTCCAGCACCTCAGCCAAACTCAGGCCTCTTCTTTTCCAAAAGGCTGAGAACATAGATCAATGAGCCAGTTACAGAACTGTTATGCTTTGGCTGGTCACACTCCCCAGACCAGGGTGACAGTGAAAAGACCCACCCAAATAAGCTCTTAACTGCTAGAGAAACAGAATTTGTGGTCATGAAGTGGCACCCCCTTTCTCCACAGAAAAGCCCTCTTCACCATGGCTGATTTTAGGACTGTCAGAAAAAGAGTCCATTGTAGATAAACTTCCTATTTTCGTGTCACCCTGTTCACTTGGCCACTGGCCGAGAAGATACCAGCACTCCAGGTGCTGGACACCCCCTTACTAGTTTTTCACAAACATATCCAGTATAGTACTTTGAAGAAATGTGCAAACAAGGCCTCTGGCCTTGAGCTGGGCTTCACAGAGATGTCTACATTTTTAAGATAAGTTACAACTAGGCTCCATGGTAACAGCTGGCAGGGGGAGGAAAGAAAGGGGAGAAGAAGCTCTCCCCTTCTCAGGTGCTGTCCTTGAAGGGTTAACTTGCCCAGAACAGTGAAAGAAAAAGCTGCTTTTATGTGAACTTCTGCAGACTGTGAACTTCTGAGCCCCTCCCCTTACATGCTGGGTATAAAACTCTGAAACTCCCTGAACTCGGGGTTCAGGGGATTGATTGATTATAGCAAAAGCTGTGCCCTCTGAACCTGGCTGCAGCCAAATAAAACTGTTTCCTGCTGTCTTCGGTGCCTTGCCTCATTTGTCCCTGCAACAGTTAGAAACAATAAATACAGGAAGGTTTCCCTCCTCTTGGCACTCAGCCCATCTGGAGAGGCTGAGCAGCAATGAGAACACCGTGGTGCTGTCTGGGGAGGAAGAAGCAGCCTCTGCCCTCTGGATTTTCTTGTGCTTCATCCCTTCGCATCGCGCATGTCATGTCTGCCTCCCTTTCATTTTCTCTGCTTCCTTTGTTTTCCCTCATTTCCTGTCTGGCCAGAACTAAGAAACTGATGGAGAAAAGAAATGGGGGAGGGCTGAGGATAACTTTGAAAGGATCAATGTCCATTTCTCTTTGTCCCCCTGCTCTGAATGGCCATTCTCCAAAAAGCAACTTCCAGACCAACGGAGAGAGACCCCAACCCATAGAATGCCATACTTCATTCCTCCTCATCTGTGGGTTTTTGACATCTTCATAAATTGTCAGAAGTGTCTCTGGGCTGGTCTCTGTGGAAAGAGGTAAGCAAGGAACAGAGCTTCAGAAACGTCCAGAGGGCTTCCTGTCCAGCTCCCACTTTTGATGGTCCTACCTCTCCCCAAGATGGCCCAGACCTTAAGAACGGCTCTAGAAAAGAGGCGGATTAGTGCTCTTCCCACAATACCTAAAGAGCATGTGATGTGCCCATCCCTGACATACCTTCTCTATCAAGATGGGCAGACCCCAATCAAACCAGGCAACCTGCAGATAAGTCTGCACATTGAGGATCAGATGCAAACATCTGGCAGCCAACACAGAAAGAAGCCTTGCTGCCACTGGTTGCCCTCTCTCAACCACGTACACGCATCCCGACACTCCCGGAGGGAAGGGATACTATGCATCCAGGCACATCCCACTGAACACAGGACCCAGCCACTGAATCTGATGTATCGGGCCACAGCACCCCTCAAGGACCATCCACTTACGTGACTGCTTTCTCTTTCTCTTCCTCACACAGAAGCAAGTGAAAGTGACAATAAACAGTATGGCCAGAATAATGACAATCACCATAAAGGGCAGAATTCTGGATCCTGATAAATTAAAAAAAATTTTTTTAAAAAAGATGCAAGGACTGAACTCACTCCACCTCTTGCTTCCCACCTGCCAGCTGCAGCAGCTGTTTCAAAACCCACTCTCCTCCCCAGTGTGGCTGGTCTCCTCCTGCCCTATGAATCCTGCACCAAGGTTGTCTCTCTGCTCAATTGGGTAACTTCCCATAAGTGATGCCAAGAGTTTGGACATTAATTTCTGACAGGTCTTGTCCAAATTGTAATTCTGTAGGCTCAGTGTTACGGATTTAACCCTCTGAGCTTCAAATTTTCTCACGCATTAAAAGGAGCTAAAGCTATCCACCTATAGGGGATCATCACACAATCTGATATATGGAAAGCATCTGGCACAGCAAATATTGTATCTATTCATTGTTTATAATTCAACAAATATTTATTGCACACCTACTATGCACCAGGCAAGTCTTCCATTTCACCTTCCTGCTATTCCTGCCTCCACTGCTCTTCCTCACCTGAACTTCAACATTGAACATTTGTGTTGCATGTGTTGCCTGATATATAATCCAGCCAACATGAGAAGGGAGAGGAATTAAGTGTTTCAGGGCCAACTGACTAGCTTTCCACAACATTATCTCACTAAATCATAACAGCAATCCTGTGAGGCACCCGTTATTGTTACCCACATTTTACCCTAGAGAACAATTGAAACTCACAGAGGCTAATGAATCTGCCTGAGATCACAGAGTTTGTTCATGTAAAGTGCAAAAACCAGTGTCCTTCTCACTACATAGTGCCTCCATCTTGTTTGTTTCTATTTTGCCCATAAGTACTTGGTTTTGTTGCCCCAATTTTGTTGAAGGTTTTTAATAACAGAGACTGCATGGTTTGGGTTTGGGTTTGGGTTTTTTCCCATCACACCAATGCTGACTGGCACATTAAGTCTTTGTTTATCTAATAAAAACCGATGTAAACTCAGGTGATTCTCAGCATAAGCAATAAACCCAGATCTCCCCCAGGCATCGTGTGATTCTCCTGACCCAAGGCACTATTGGACAGTGTTATTACCTCCTGGAGAGCTGCATGGTGAGCCACCACTCAAGAGGACAGAGCAGGTCTCCATATATCTTTCAGAGGAAGAAGATAATGGTCAGGAGCCATTGCAAGACTCACCAAACAACCATGCATTCCCTGTGTGTAGGGAAAACTTGCATCTCCGGAAGGATATGGAGTTAAAATCTTCCCAGACTAAGATAGGCCTGGGTTATAGAGACCATGTGCCTAGAGGCCAGGCCCTTGCTGAGGGAGGGCTAAATGACACTGGGGGAGGAAGCCCAGGAATGGCATATCCAAGTCTCCCTTGCATGTGAGCCTGGTCATGGGGTCCAACACCTTAAGCCTGTGTCATAGCCTAAAGTGCTCCACTTACTCAGGGGGACACGTAGACATCCCTGGGTGAGGTTGAGGGTTTGGCTTGCCCAACTGACAGGGTTGCTAACATTGCAGGTATATGTGTTCTGGTCATTGGGATCAACCGACACCTCCAGATATGTAAAGTTCCCAGACGTCGAGATCAATTCATTGTCTCTGTACCAAGTGTAGGTCACATTGCTGTCCCTGGAGACCAAGCAGGACAGCACCACTTGGCATTTCCTTTCTTCCAGGGCCTTCCACTGTTCCTGCAGGAGAGGCTGCTCAACATGATCTGGAAGCAGAGATTCTGATCAGAAAGGTGCTGGAAATACATGTCCTACAGGAATCGAGGGGACCGGGTGAGGAATCCTGGAGACTCACCAAATACGAAAACCTTGAAGTGGACCACGTTCACCTTTCCAGACTCATTGGTCACCTCCAGTTTATAATGACCACTGTCCTGTGGCTTAGCGGCCTTGATGAGAAGGGTTAAGTTCTCAAAGTTAAAATCAAGTGTATTGTTGAAATGTTTAAGAGCTAAATCTTCATACGTCAGAGTGGAATTATTCCTCCAAGTCAGTATCACATAAGTTTCTGGACATGAAAGTAGCTGCATCTTCCATTGAACAGAAGATATCTCCATCTGTGTGTTAGAAGGCTGTAGAGGGAGGGGCCTTCCCGAGAGACCAACCACATCGTAAGTAGAATCTGGGGATCCTAGGAGAGAAAAGCCAGGCTGACAGTGACAGAAAGAGTGTGAGGCCTGAGCAATGTGGGCAGTTGGAGGCAATCTCCCTTAAACTAAGAGGATGGAATCATGTGTGAGGAGTCTGGAGTCAAAGAGAATCTGAAAATATACTTCCTTTATCTGCCTGTCCTTCTTCCCAAGCTCTGTCCTCTAGTCTGAAGGAACCCACAAACCAATAACCATAGTTAGGATCTCTCAAGTACTTACCATGTGACAGGCAGATTTCAAACATTTACATGTTTTAACTACTTAATTTCACAGGAACCCCTGTGAAGGTCTTATCCTTATTTTATGGGTGAGAAAACTAAGTTAGAAAGCACTCAAGTAACACAGTGAGAATGATGAGCTCGAAATCCAGCTGCTTTGTCTTAGGGGATGAATTTTTAACCAAGATGCTATAAACACTGTGTCTGATGGGACTGCCTTCCAGAAGCTTTGAAGCAACCACTAGTGATGACAATGGCCAGACCTAGTGAGACAAACCCTCCAAGCTGCTCCTCTTCTGTCCTCTTATAGAGTTGAATTCATCATCCTCTCTTACAGCACCTGGCACGTTGGTTTGTGGGCTTTACTCATTGACATTTACCAATCTTTGACCAGAAACTATCCACAAAGATCACTCCCTAAAATTAGAACAATTAGAAAAACAAAAATAAAATTATACTTCCCAAGTATACCACAGAAGCTGAGTACTGTCGGTGAAGAAAAGCACAAATTCCTATGGCCATTTTTTGGCAGGGAAGCTACGTGGCACAGCCCATTGCATGAAGGAAATACGAGAGTCAGTCGGCCTGGATTGGAGAGAGTCAGGGAGAATTTAAAGTAGAAAACAGGATCTGGGGATAGTTACACAAATGGCTCTGTTAAAATGAGGCCAAGGGAGGCAAAGCAAGATGGTACTTAAATAAGATCCCCGAGTGATCATCTCCCCACGGGGCATAGCAAGTTGAAGAGCTATTCTTCCACCAAACTACCTTCACAAGAGCTCAGGAAATGAGGTGAGAGAACATAGTCCTGCTTATGATGAAATGAAAGAAGTATTGAAAAAGGCAGAAAAGAATGAGAAGCCCATGTCACCCCTTCCCCAATTCCAAGCAGTCCAGTGTGGAGAGAGACTCCACCTGCTTGAGATTGTGAGCAAGTTTAGGTCATGCCTTACACTTGAAAACTACTGCTGGACAGAATCCCAAGACCCCTACCACCAGGCCAATACCCACCAATTGAGTAGGCACCTGCATACCTATTCCAACCTTAGGAGGCAGTGTGGGAAGCAAGACTCCACCTGCTGGGAACAGGGCACAAATCTAGCATGGGACTTGGTCTTGGAGTTCAGTACCAGATCTGCAGCAGTAAGAGCAGCATCCAGTAGAAAGTGAATGCCCCAAATGCAGGCCAGAGCTCACAGATGGAGAGTTTAGCCAGTCCCAGCATCAGGTGCAGACCCATGCACCAGTGGGACAGGATCCTACATCACCACCTACATCACCACCAGCTGTGGCCTGGGCCTTGATGCAACCCTGAGGCCGTGCAGAACTTTGAGGCTGTGACACTCAAGCATGTTAAAGGTTATCATCAGTCTAGGTGGTCAAGGAACTGCCTTCACCAAATCTTGGGCTGCTCTGTCCTCTAGTCTGAAGGAACCCACAAACTAATAACCATAGTTAGGATCTCTCAAGTACTTACCATGTGACAGGCAGATTTCAAACATTTACATGTTTTAACTACTTAATTTCACAAGTAGTTAAAACACAGGGGGACACGTGGTCATTATAAACTGGAGGTGACCAGTGACCAGTGACTGAGGCCGGACAGGGTGGTAAGCAGAGAACTTTGCCCTGGAACTTAGTGGGGGGCTGGTGAAGCCCATTGGGCAGATCCTCAAAGACCCCACCCACACGTTTACCTGTAGATGAAGCCTCTAGAATAGCTCTAGTGCTGGTGAAGACATGTGGCCCCAGTCTATTGGCTTCTATTCCAGCTAGCATCAGCTGGGCCTAATGGCAGCCATGAGTCTAACTCAGCAATAGGTAGCCCCCAGCAATGTAAGCTACCACAGTGTTCTGATCTTGGTGGGCTATGAGCACTAGGTGTGACACAACTTGATGGCATCAGTGGTCACAGGCATGCCATAGGAAACTAGTGCTGGTCCATCCATGGTAATTCTGTCCAGAGCCAGGAAAAATTCTTCAGGACCTGACCACAGGTGGGCAACTGTGGATGTGTCCTTGGGCCTACCCTAGGCCCAGGAGAGGATTGTAGGATAACCACTCTCTCTAAATACTCCCCTGGTCTGTTCTGAACAGCACACCAGCAGTGCATTTGGGATACACTAGGCCTGGACACCCATTATTACTGAAACTGTGACAATTTACCAACAGCAGACTCCCAGCAAACCTGGACCTGCATGTCATCCAGTATTGGAATAGTAGAAGTGACTGCAGGCGCAAAGAAAATAAGCAGCCTACTTAGAATTTCTGAAAAGACAGGCACAAACAACCAGATTGGGAAGACCAGAATAAATACCTAATGCTCAGATAATGCCCAGACAATGCCCAGATAATGTCATATGCCGATAAGCATAAAGGCTTTCAGAAAATGATGACCTCCCCTAATACTCAAAATAAGATGTCAGAAACTGACAGGTGGCAATCAGTATGGGAGAATGATCAGATGGACAACTTATAACAGCTGTTTTAAAGAAACTTGAAGAAAACATAAAAAAACATGTAAATATTCTAACAGAGAAATTGAAAAAGGAGTAGAAGCAACTGTTCTTAGTCCAGTTAGTGAAACAAAGTTAATTTTAAGATAAAGAAACTAGCAAACCGTTTTCTAGACTAAGAAAAAGAGAGGAAAAAACTCAAGTAAATGAAAGCAGAGATGAAAAAGAAGAGATTATAATTGACACCACAGAAATACAAAGAATTCTTAAGAGATTTTTATGAACAAGTTGTCAACAAATTGGATAATCTAGAAAAAAATGGAAAAATTCTTAAGAAACATAGGCCCCATCAATATTAAGTCATGAAGAAACAAGAAACATGAACAGAACAATAAGAAGTAATGATATTGAATCCATAATTAAAAGTCTCCCATAAAAAAATGGAAAAGCCCAGTGGGGCTGGGTATGGAGAGTACATGTCTAGCATGCATTAGGCCCTGAGTTGGATTCAAAGCAAGCAAAAAACAAAAAAAAAGAAAGAAAAGCCCAAGATCAGAGCTTCACTGATAAATTCTATCAACCATATAAAGAAGAATTAATATCAATTCTCAAGTTACTCCAAAAAATAGAAGAGGAAGGAATTCTTCCAAAAGCATTTGATGAGTTCAGCCTTATCCTGATACCAATACTAGATAAGGGCACAATAAAGAAAAAAAAAAAACTAGAGGCCAATATCCTCTGAACATCAATGCAAAAATTCTCGACAAAATACCAACAAATCAGCTAGGGATGTAGCTCAGTAGTAAAGTGCTTTCTTACCATGCACAAGGTTCTGGGTTTGATCACCAAACACCCCCGACACACCCACACATACACCCCTAGAAATCTGAATCCAAAAGCACATTTAAAAGATTATTCATCATGGGTCTGGGGCTGTAGCTCAGTGGCAGAGCGTTTGCCTAGCATGTGTGAGGCACTGGGTTTGATCCTTAGCAAAAAAAAAAAAACACTAAACAAATAAAGGCATGCTGTCCATCTACAATTATAAAACAGACATTTTTTTAAAAAAAAGATTATTCATCACAATCAAGTGGGATTCATCCCAGAGATGCAAGAATGATTCAATGTATGCAAATCAATAAATATGATACACCACATCAACACAATAAAAGACAAAAACCACATGAGCATCTCAATGGGTTCAAAAAAGGCATTTGATAAGATCTAATGTCCCTTCATAAAAAGGCTGAATAAATTAGGTAGAGAGAACATACCTCAACGTAATAAAAGCCATTTATGAAAGCCATCAGCTAAAATTATACTGAGTGGGGGGCAATCTGAAAGTTTTCTAAGATCTGGAACATAACAAGGATGCCCATTTTCACTACTTTGACACAACATAATCCTAGCTGGAGCAATCAAGCAAGAGAAAAAAATAAAGAACATTTAAATTGGAAAAGAGGAAGATGAATTGTCACTATTTGCTGATGATAGGATCTTCCATATAGCAAACCCCTAAAACTCAAGAAAACAAAAACTACTAAAGCTGATAAATGAATTCAGCAAAGTTACAGGATATCAAAAATCAATATACAAAAATCAGTAGTATTGCTCTATATAGCAAATTATCTGAAATAGAAATCAAGAAAGTAATTTCAGTTATAATACCTACAAAAAAAACCTGGAATAAATTTAATCAAAGATGTGAAGGATCTCTATGATGAAAATTATGAAACATTGATGAAAAAAATTAAAGAGGACATTTTAAAAAGTGGAAGAACATCCTGTGTCCATGTATAAGAAGAATCAATATTGTTAAAATGTCCATATTCCTTCCCCTAAGTGATCTACAGAAGCAATACGATTCCTTTCAAAATACCAGACTTTCCACAGAACTCGAAAAAATAATCCTAAAATTTAGATAGAAAAACACATATACACACACTTGAATAGCCAAAGCCATCTTGTATAAAAATAATAAAGCAGTAGGTATTCATTATCTGACTTTAAAACACTAAAAAGCTGTAAGAATCAAAAAAGCATGGTATTCATGGTATAGAAAACCTAGAAGTAAGCCCATGCACCTACGGCCAACTGATTTTTGACAAAAGTGGTAAGATCATGCTTTGAAGAAGAATATGCTCTACGGCACGATAGGCTAACTGTGGTCAACGATGATTATTTGAATATTTCAAAACAGTTTCTGAAAAACCACATCCCAGTATCTCTTATGAACAAATATGCAAACTGAATATTCTTAAACTGAATCCAGCAGTACATCAAAAATAACATATTCTGAATAATAGA